AGATCCTATTTAGGCTGCTCCAATTTAATAGTTTGTTTAACGTCCTAACTTTATATAAAAATTGAGGGGGGGGAGGGGGTCAAATTAAGTAAACATTTAAAAATAAACATAGTTTTTTCTTTATCACTCAATGCATTTTTACTAAAAATACATCTTAATTTATTACAGATAATGCAATTAATAAGTTTACATATATTACTTTTATTAATTATACCATTTTCTTTGGTAGATTCAATTACACTGGAAAGAAATTCTTTTAAATATTATACAGATCGGTGATGTTATTATAAGTCACGTGATATAACATATGTTTGTTTATTTTTAAAAATTTTTCAAAAATGAGGGAGGTGGGGTACGTTAAACAAACTATTAAATTGGAGTGGCCTTAGGTATTAGAATTAAAAAACCAGTGATTCAGTTCAGTTTAATCAGAATTTCGCTTACTTATACAGTTTACCCTTCCTATAGCAAATTTTTTATATAACGAATCACGTGACGCTTAGCCAATAAAATATGTCAATTTTCTCTCACTATAACGAGGTAACCAATCAAATTCTTTAAATTCTTAGTTAACTTGCTATAACGAATTTGAGGTGCAGAACGGTTTCTTTGCTATATCAAGGGTAGACTGTAATAAAAATCATCGTAGAAAATTAGCCTTTTACTAATAGTTTTTACCTTACTTTTTTCTTAAATTCTATTGGTTAATAATTAAAAAGGAAAAAAAATCATAACAATATAACATAAAATTTCCTTTTATAGTAGGATCTGCAAAGAATTTTATATATAATTTTTACTTTAGGCCTGGGGTAACCTATCTTATAAGTAAGTAGAGTCCTGTTTAATCTAATTTTTTATAAAAATATGAAAAATTGAATAACTGGTAATTGAGTAATTGTATAAAGTCAAGCTATATATTATTAGATTTCTTTTAATAAAACATGTTGAATGGTGCTAAGATTATCAATAAATCACAAGTTAACTTATTAAATGATTTATAAAAAAATTAGTATTAGAAAATTATCTATTAATACTAGAGATATGATCTTACTACCATTCGATATGTCTCAGTAAGACAAATCTAACAAATTTTAATTTGTCTATGTATGATTATTAGATGATGAATAATATTAAGTTTCACATTTTTAAAAATTTTTGAGTGTTAAAAATTAAAATACTGATATATGTATTTACTTATCATTTAATGATTATACAAATATAAATTAGAACTTATTAAATTTAATTTATTGAAATAAATCAAATGGTAGTAAGATCATATCTCTAGTATCAATAGATCGCAAGTTAACTGATGTTAAATAAGTTTAATAAATTAGCATTAGAAAGCTATTTATCGATGCTAAAGACATGATCTTACTACTATTCAACTTGTCTTATTGAGACGAATCCAATAAGTACTAATTTATATTTATATGATCATTAAATAACAAATAAATGCATGTATCGGCATTTTAATTTTTAACATTTAAAAATTTTAAAAAAATGTGAAATTTGGCATTATTTACCATCCAGTGATTGCACATAGATAAATTAATATTTATTAGATTCATCTTACTGAAACGCATTAAATAGTGATAAGATCATATCTCTAATATTAATAAATAATTTTCTAATGCTAATTTTTTATAAATCATTTAATGTGATCTAACTTGTGATTTATTAATACTAAAAATATAATTTTACCACCATTTAACATGTCTTATTGCAAGAAATTTAACAATATATGGCTTGACATTTTATAATCACTTAATTGCCAATTATTTAATTTTTCGCATTTTTATAAAAATTGAATTAAACTGAATTAAACTACTAGTTTTTCAATTCAATTTTAAACTGTCTATAATCCAGACTAAACTGACCTATTTGAAGCTTTAATTACATATATTAAAAGTTTAAAAAAAGAGCATCTTATGCATTTTTTTTTAAACTTTTTTAATTTTTTTTCTTCCTTTCTTTTTTTCTTTCTTTGTTTTTCTTTCCTTTTGTTTCTGTTTCTCTTCTTCTCTTTTTTTTTTCCTTTATTTTTCTTTCCTTTCTTTCTCTTTTTCCTTTTATTTATTCAGTTATTTAAAAGGCTTGAATGGACTTTTGAAGTACAGAAAATCAAATTTTTTATTTTTTTATTATATAAATGATTACTAATTATTCTTTTTTTTTTTAAGTTTGTAAGCTTCTGAATTCTAAAAAATAATAAAAAAATTAAGATTTGTAAATAAAGTACAAATACAAATCTTGGTTCTTTTTTTATTTTTTATTTTATTTTTTATTATTTATAATTGGTACAGTAAGTATAATAAATTATGATAATTTTGGTCAGTACTATTCTATAAATTCAGTTAGATTTTTGAACATAATAATTCGACATCCAAGTTATTATACAAGTGGGCGAATTTAATAAAAGTATACTAGCTTCTTACCAGTTTCTTACTAGTTCTATAACAGCTTCAGGATACTATCAGATCACTACTATGATATCAAGTTAAATCTTTAAATCATATGTCTTAAAGATTGGCTAAAATTATAGCATAATATTGACTAAAATTAATTGCAAATCTACTGCACCATCAGAACCCGCTTACTTATAATAAAGGTTATCGTAGAAAATTGGCCCTTTACTAATAGTTTTTACCTTATTTTTTTCTTAAATTCTATTGGTTAATTAGCTAAAAAGGAAAAAAATCATAACAATGTAACATAAAATTTCCTTTTATAGTAAGATCTGCAAAGAATTTTATATATGATTTTTACCTTAGACTAAGGTTGCTTGTCGAAACCTAAGGGTTTAGGCAAGATGGCGTTTCACTGAAAAGCAAAATTCTGCCGAAACTATATTAAAGTTATATTAAAAAACTGGCAAAACTTTGGAGAAAGGCAAAACTGCCGAAACTTATTATAAATGCTGAAACTGCCAAAACTCTGCCAAAACTATAATAAATCTATAGTAAAATTTTGACGAAACTAATTGTAGGATTTTGAAAAGGTTTAGACAAGCAACCTTACCTTAGACCTGGGAGTGACCTATCTTATAAATAAGCAGGATTCTGCACTATCTGTCACCTTTTTTTATACTATTTTAGCATCCTGAAGGCAATCAAATAGGCATATATTTTCAATATAAAACTGGTAACCAAGCTAGCACAGAAGGGTTAGCATTTTCATTATAGAACCAGGCATTCAAAGAAGACTGGAAGACCAGTACCATCAATAAAAAATTTATCATATAAATGAATTAAAAACAAAAAGAAAGAAGTCACCATCTGATCTGCAATTTACTGCACCACCTGATTAGAACATGATTTTTAGCAATCAATGTTGGCCAAGCATCTTAGCCACAAAAAGACTATAGAGCAATGAAAACAAGCAGTTAGCTAGAAGGTAATAAAAAAAGAATAGAATAATGAAAACAAGCAGATAGCTACAAGGTAATAAAAAGAACACAGAAAGGTGAAATCATGTGAATAGCATTTTGACAATAAAAAGGCCATAGAATATCAAAAACAGTAAGTAGGTAACAATTTACTCATAAGTAGGTAATAACTTAATGCAAGTAGGTTGCAATATATATATATATACTGTAACCTACTACAGTTAAAAATATTAAAAATAGCCCAGTTTAATATTAAATTAGTTCCTTCCTATTGGTACTCTGAAAAAAGTCTTATAATAGCAGAAAAAAGTTTTTGAAAAATCAATTCAGATTATTGAAAATAAGTATCAGCTAAAATAAACTGGAATCTTCTTTATGGTTAATACTATTTGAGATGTTCAAGAAGAAACTTCAGTAGGAAGAAAAGGAAATAAAAGACAATATTCTATTTATAAATTATGGTATCATGATTCATGAAATTGCTCTAAAAAAATGAGTGTAATAGAGAGAATGTTTAGTCCATGCCCTTCGGTTTCAAATATTTACATAATCGGAAAATCACAAATATAATTATGGTAAAATCTATACGAAATTATATTTCGGCATATTAGCCTTATTTGGCATAATCCGTCGGAAAAAAAACATGGAATAATAAAAAAAATTTCCTAAATTCATAGGTTACTCTTCTATTTTTTGTTAAACCTTTTGTGAGTTTTACAATAAAAGTATCCGTTGTTCTTTTTATTAAATATTGTTCAGCAAATTGACAATTCCGTCCAAATTTAGCAATTGAGACAACGCAAATAACAACTGGTAAACAAAAAGACAGCGTTATTATTTTTCGTGAACTTTTTTTTTGAATTATTATAAAGACAATAAAATACAAGTTTTAAAAGAAAAATAATTATAAGCTAATTAAAAAAAAAATAATTACAATGCATACATAAAATAATAATAGACTATTCCAGAATAATCTTTTTCAGTTGGTTTTTTAAATAATAATAATTACGATTTGATGTAAAATCATATCTATTTCTTTCTCCATAATTATCATTCCCTAAAATTGAGCATTAACAATAATGGCAAAAAAAAAAATATTACTAATATAAAAATAATACCATTTTTACATTAATGTTTAATTGTTTTTTAATATTAATATTAGATAATACTATTATGATCCACTTCCTGGCTCGCTTAAATAAAGGTTATTTAATCATTCATGATTAAAAATAGTACGTCTTTTGTTTTACTTTGTATTAGATGAAATTTTGTAAAGTCCGAGTGGAACATCATCATCTTCATCATCTGCTGTTGAGTTTATCGTCGATATTTTTGACGAAATTTTATTATGAGGATTTAACGGCCTCGTTCCCGCACTTGACGATCGATTTCTTGGTATATTTATGAATTTACGCTTACTTGATGGTGGTACTGAGTTTCTTTGTGGAGTTGGAGGACCTGATTTTTTATTAGGTGATGTTGGTCTACCAGTTGGTGATTTTGAACGTCCAGTTGATGATTTCGAACGTCCATTAGGAGAAGGGGATCGAACATAATTATTATTTTTAATTCCACTACTACTTTCTCCTATATTGTCATCAAATTCTGCACTGGAGTGTAATAATCCTCCACTATGACTACTTTCGATTCTTCCATTGGTCTCGTCAAGATATCCACCATCGGTTCCATCAGAAAGATATTCATCATTATAATGATGATAACCATGAGCTTGAATCTCATCTTCGCCGTGATAATCGATGTTGTCGCCAAAATCTTCTACAGTTTCTTCCTCGAATTCATTTGTGGACGTTGGTGGCGTCATATATTGTTGCGATATTTGATTCATATCATATTGTGGAGCTTTATATGCTATTTCTGCACTTGATCCTGGTCCTGCTCCTTTTCTTGTTAATCCTGATTTCTTTTCTGCTTTTTTTCTTTTGCGGCTAGTTTTCTCTTTACCTACTTTACTTTTCACTTTGTGTGCTGCTATTTCAGCATTTGGATTCCCACCACCTCCATGTTCAACTTGTTGCTTATTAATTAGTGATAAATACCAAAACATCATGTTGGAAATGAGTACTTGTTCGTGCAACGGACGTCGTGGGTTTGCAAGTTTGACATGAGAAAGACGGTAGATTGCACGTTCTACATGAATAGGAAGACGGTTATAATTGGTATATTTTGTTTTCTTATTCGAAATAATTGGCTGTGATAATGATGTAGTCGTATTAGTAGTTGTTAATGAATCATCTGTCGATTTTCCTTTATTCTGAGGCCATGAAAAAATGGATGAAAATGACTTTTTCGGTGATTTTTCTCTATCTTTTTCTTTATCCTTTTCTTTAACAATTGAATCGTTGTTCTCGTTTTCATTTCTGTCAGATTTTTCAGATTTCTCAGATTTTTCAGATTTTTCAGACTTATCAGATTTGTTCTTTTTAGGTTTTGGTTCTTTTTCTTCTTTATCTTTTTCATGATCTTTTTCCTTATCTTTTAATTTTTCTTCCGACCCTCCAGGCCATAGCCATGACCATGCAGAAGTACGTTTTTGTGTCGAGGATGTAGGTGTTGTCAGGGATGTTGGACTTGTAGAATTTGGTGATGTTGACGGTGATATCGTAGTTGAAAAGGTCCCGGGTTTAGATGTATTTACTTTTAATGAATTTGATTCATCGGATTGATCTACTTGCAATTCACTTGATAATTCATTTTCATCTGATGCCAACGAACTTGTTTTATGAAGTGCAGGAGTAATCTGAGATGAAACTTCCGGTGGTGCAACTTCATCTTTCAATGTTATACGTATAGGTCCTGCACCATCTTTAACATCTATACATTCAAGTTCAATGTCTTTTTGTATTTCTTCAGGTTCATCAACTATTTCGCTAGAATTCAGTTTCTTATCTACTTTATCAATAGTAATTTGTGGAACCGAAAGAGATTCTGATTTTTGTTTTGGTCTCTTTGATACTATATTATTTTCGGATTGTTTTTCTTTATCAGATGATACATGAGTAGATCTTGTTCTTCTATGTGCAGAAAATCTTCTAGGATTTTGCTCTCCAGCAACAGAATTTCTGCGAATTTTTGTGCGTGCGGCACGCTTAAGTGCTGGAGACATTCTCGGTACAAGGACTTTTGAGTCCACATCAGGAGAAGAATGTCGATCAAATATATTTGGGTCATTAGGATTAGAAATTGATCCTCCTTAATGTTATAATTTCCAATTAATAAATACAATAATTGAAGGTCGGCCAAGTAAATATGTGACAAAGAAAAAAAAAAATTTTAGTTTTTTGACAAAAACAACAATAACAATGTAAATGTATTTTTTAATTCATCCATTCATTCGAATTTTTTTTTTTTTTTCTTTGAGAACTTTTGTTATAACATTAAAAATGATATCAAAAATACTCATATAACATTAGTTTGAAGTTTTGCAAATGATGCAAATTTAATTAAATAAATTAATTATCTTACCCATAAACGGCGGAAGATTCAAACTTAGACTCCTTCGTAATATATTTAATTTTGTTGATTCTGAAGTTGGATTAATATTTCCATCTGATCCAATGTATGACTCCCAATCAAAACCGGTCCATTTTTTCTCAGGTTCCACTTTTTTATCTGTTGTTTCTTCTTCATCATCTTCAACATCTGAAGGAATATATTGTTTAGAAAGAGTTGATTTCCGCCTTCTTAACGACCCTATTCCAGAATTAAACCCATCTTTTGCATGATTTTTTAACCACTTTCTAAATTCATTTGGCGCTATTTCTGGATGCAAATGTGCGGGTACCCAAAACAAATGAGATGGATTGTCCGTTTCAATGTGAAGTTCTTCAGTGACAGGTTGAGAATTTGTTAAGCAATCCGAGTCGTCTTCCTCTAAACCCATAATTGATTTTCTCTTTAGCCTCATTTCAATAAAACCTGGATTTCTTAATGGTGCCTCTGTTGTATCTTCTTTTGAATTAATAGAAATGTCTTTAGTAACATCAAAAATATGCGAATCTTTAGTTGTTATAGAATCTGATGAGGTTTCTCTATTATGTTCTTTAACAGAATGTTCCTGAGGTAGAGAAACGTTTATTTTAACTTTTTTTTGTTCAGGCCGGGGTTCTATTTCAGTTTCCGACATAGTAGGCGAGGGACCAAGAGTTAAAGCTTGTGTACTTTTCTCTCTGCTCGGATCAACTTTTGACGGTAAAATTTCTTCTGTATTATATTCAGTAGGTCCAAAAGTTTCGTCCAACATTTTCGAAAATTCTAATAAATTTTCTCCGGAAGTTTCGTTAACCATTTCATTTAATATATATAAAAAAATTTTACTATATACAAATTAAAAAGTAAAAAACATATTATGAACAACAAGTGACGAGAAAAAATCTTTTATAAACTTTTATCTCTTGGCGTATGAGTATAAAAAACTAAAATTTCAAATTTGACTAATAAAGTAATTTGTACATGGGGGACGGGGGGTGCAAAAATTCAGTATGTCGGAAAAATTTTCCGGCTACATAAAGGAAATCTTTAATTTTAACTTTATATATTTTTCACTTATGCACTTTCCCAAATAGCTTATTTACATTACGTAATGCTAAGTAAATATAATGCCGGAATTTAAACCGGGAAATTCATGAGTCGGATATTTTAACGAGAGAATATTTTAACAAGAGAATATTTAGTTTAAATTTTATCAAATTATAAAGAAGCGTATTATCATTTGAAAGTCTAATTAAGCAAATTAACTATTTTATCATCATAATCATAATATTTACTATATTCTGTATACTGTATGTACAAAAATAAAATTCAATTAATGATAAGGGGATATGAAATGTTCATTATAAATTTGTAAATATGTTACAAACATTTATTATGAAAAGGTACTTCAACTGTACCTGAAGTTTATAGTTTATGCTTAAAATTATAAAAACTCAAAATACTGCTTTAAAAATCCTGTTACTTATAAATGTGAGAAAAAGGGAAAAAAAAAACAAAACAAATAACAAATAAAAAAAAAAAATAAAATAATTTCTATAATGCTATATATATTGGAGCAACTAATTAAAAGTAAGAAAATTTGATAATAAAACAAACAAAATAACACAAAACTAGAGTAATATCAATATAAATTTTGATAGAATTTTTGACTTTGAACGCATCCATGTTACAGTTCCATTTCCGGGACTTCTTCTTCATCTGAATATGAATCTACAGAACTTACTTCATCTTCTGAAGAACTTTCGTTCGCTGCGTCCGCTGCTTCTTTCGTAGCAAACCTGCTAACATATTCTAATATAAAAAAATGATTATATATAAAATATAGCGTAATTAACTTGATAATAATAGTATAGTGGGACCAGGCACCAGGTCATTTAAATCATAATTGATGTATTACCTTTTACTTTGTTTTCATATGCCTGTGGTTCTCGCATTAATAAAGCTGCTGCTTCGCCATTGAGTGGATCGGTGGGATTAGGATATCTCAAGAGTTGAGGAAGAAACACCTCAAAAATATTGATCATGTCTATAAAAAGTGTGAAATTATTTGTATAATGAAATATAATGAACATAATTAAAATCATAATTTATTTAGTTAATTACCAAACATTGGACTCCATGTCTGATTAATTACATCAAGACAAACTGACCCACTACTATATATCCATACAAGAGATTGATCAGTCAATATTTGAACTCAAAAATGGTTAAAAATATTAATCAAAATATTTAGAACCTAAACAACTTACAGCTCATCGATATTAGGATGAAAAATTTTATTCATAAAACCAATCGACGGAGATTTATATGGGTATTGGTCAGGAAGCTCAACATGAACTTTCCATACACCGCCGGCAAATGGTGCTAAAACAAAGTAATAGAAATTTAATTTATTTATATGGAACATAAATAAATATAGACGAATAATAAATTACGTAAAATAAGACATACTGTCCTCAGGTCCATGAAATCGAACATAAAACTCCTGCATGTTATCATTGACAAGAGTAACCTCATAATCGCTCATAAGACTTAATGATATCGCAAAAATTTAAGAAATTGGTAAATATTAAAAACGTTTAATAACTCGGTATAGTAATATTAACTCACAGCTTCATAACATCAGTTTCGATCCTTCTACGCGGCGAAGACATTTTAAATATAACTTGTTTTAAAAGAAAAAGAGATGATTAAATTGCGTATTATTATATCAGTTAAATATCGAAGTATAGTTAGTGTTCTCAAGTTGATTTATCTTCTACGGGTTTTTATGAGTCATTTTTTAGATTTTAGTAAATTGGTCACATGGCTCGCGCCAAAAATCGCATCAGTACATGTTTGGCCGCAGTGCAGCCTCGCATAAATAAAAAATAAGATCATTTTGTTATTATAACCGCGTTAAATATGTCGGTCAAAGCAATTGATACTTCTTCGATTCATCGAATTTGTTCAGGCCAGGTAATCTTGGACTTAACAACAGCAGTAAAAGAGCTTGTAGAAAACAGTCTTGATGCTCAGGCAAAATCAATTGGTATAAACATATTTTGATTAAAAAAAACGCGTCAATATTGCTTTAAACTTATTTTTAATTATCATATATTATATATTTTTATTACTAACGCGTTTTATTTGTATCTAAACAGAAATCAGATTTAAAGAATATGGCATCCAATCCGTTGAAGTAATAGACGATGGGATAGGAATTCATCATAATGATTATGAAAGCCTAGGTAGTTTTGCCTAAGAGATTATTCCAAATTTACGAAAACTAACAATTATAAAATCTAATCAGCTCTCAAGTATCACACATCCAAACTATCTTGCTTTGAAGATTTAACAGAAATCAACTCATTTGGCTTTAGAGGCGAAGCACTTAGTTCTTTGTGCGCTCTATCCAAACTTGTAGTCTCAACATGCACTCAAGAAGAAACTCCAACGGGTACCAAATTGGAATATGATTCACATGGAAGGCTCATAAAAAAGTCTCCAATAGCTCGAGAGGTATCGGTATTATTTGTTTAGCACTTCCTTATAAAAGTTTTGTAATTGATATCCAATTTACTTATTTTCAAACATAAATAAAGCGAGGCACGTCCGTATTCTTACAAGGACTTTTTGAACCGGTTCCAGTTCGACACCGTGAATTTAAAAAGAATATTAAGCGAGAATTTGGCAAAGCACTAGTATTATTGCAAGCTTATGGTATCATTTGCGAAAATGTTAGAATTTCTTGTACAAATCAGTTAAATAATAAGTATGCACGTAATATATTAGACATATGTTCGTTTTTTTGCAAATTTTATGAAATTTTATACATTATTACTAACGGTGATTTTTACTTTTAAATTCCTACTATATCAGCGCAAAAACAAGAGTGTTAACTACAAGTGGGAACAATGACTTAAGAGATAATATCGCAAATATATTTGGTGCCAAGACATTAACTCAAATAATACCATTGAACATAAATATGAATGTCAAACGAGATATGAGATTGCAAAAAAATGAATATGATGAAAGGTGAATAATTAACACAGTGTGTAATTATGAACAAATGTTTAATTGAATCATATATTAATTAAATTGGTATTGAAGTGAAGGATATACTGCTCATATTGTTGGTTATATTTCTAAACCTATGAAAGGATACGGCCGTGGAAGCAATGATAGGCAATATTACTTCATTAATGGTCGTCCATGCAATTTACCAAAAGTAAAGCGACATTTTTATTCATTTCTTATTCAATTATTCAAAATTGATCATTGCTTTCATTTTATTTCATAAAGATGGCGAAAGCTGTTAATGAGTTATATAAAAGTTTTAACACTCACCAGTATCCTTTTGTTGTTATTGATTTTCGACTTGCGAAATGTTAGTGGATTATTTTACTGCTTAGTTAAGTTTACAATTCTTCGTTATATCAAATAACTGACAGAATTAATATGTCTAGCTTCGTATGATGTTAACGTCAGCCCGGATAAAAGGACAATATTTATACATAACGAAATCAAAATAGTAGAGATAGTAAGGGTATCTAAGTAATTTCATAATTTTTCAATATAAAAAATTCCATATAATGAAAAGTTCTTACTCTTTTTTAGGAAGAATTAAATAATGTTCTGGAACCATTTCGGTCTACTTTCGCGTATTCTAATGTTGGAGGCGTGCAGTTGTCAATAGAAGAAAATGTTTTATGTCATGGGAATTCAAAGAAGGAGATTTCTTCACAAAACAAAAATGCCCAATATAGGAGTGGAATTTTACTTGTGCAAGACAGAGATGATGGTATAGTCAGGCTCAATAACATTCAAAGCAACGAGAGCGTTAAAAGTGAAGAGTATAAGTTTGCGAATTGTACTACTCAATCAGAGGGAAGTGAAGTTCATGTAATGAAAAAGCTAAAGATTTCTGCTGAAAAATCAGAGATTGTTAGTTCTCCGAAAAAAAATCTATCACAATTATTATCTTCAAATACGCCGAAAAAAAGAAATTATATTATTAAACCAATTGATACCTACTTAGTTAATGACCGGAAGGATTCTTTCAATGTTTCAGCGTCTATATCATGTGATGATAAACATCGCGGTGAAAACGTTGATAAAGCTGATATCGAAGAAGAGGAGCAAATGGAAATGATCGTCGAAGATTTTGTTGAGGTTCTTGAAGATGATATGAACGATTCTAATAAAGGTGTTATCATAGCCGATGATAAGAATGCTTTTAACAAGAATCTCATAATCTCTAAAGAGGATAATAAAATTTTGAGTTTTTCAAGTAAGACACTTGATCTAGAGACTGTTATGATAGAGAGTGATTACGAAAGACAAGACATTGAGATACCATTTGATATTCGAAGATATAAATTGATTGATACAAATCAGCAAGATTTTTGCAAGTATAAATATAAAAATAACGATCGCGATACACATTTAAATAATTCCGGAATCGATACTCAAGATAATGAAGTTGCTGAAAGAGAACTCAGTAGGGTTATATTGAAAAGAGATTTCGGCTTGATGGAAATTATAGGGCAATTCAATCTCGGATTTATTATTGTTAAATTGGATAATTCTAATTGTAATGATTTGTTTATTATTGATCAACATGCATCTGATGAGAAATATAACTTTGAAAATTTACAACATCATACTAAAATCCAATCTCAAAGACTTATCAGGTTTTTTTTTTGGTTATTTGATTATATAACATAGTCATTCTCTCATACTACATTACCATTTAGTCCAAGAAAGTTAGATCTTACTGCAGCAGAGGAATTAATTGCAATAGAAAACTTAAAAATCCTACAAGCGAATGGATTTGAGTTGGATGTAGATTACAACGCATCTCCCACTAATAAATTAAAATTATTGGCGCAACCGATGAGCAAAGATATAATATTCGGAGTTAAGGGTAAATCTCTTTTTTTGGATAATTCTTATGTAAGAAAACAATTGATTGTTAAACATTTATAAAAAAATTTATAAAAAAAAAAGATTTAGAAGAATTAATATTTCTATTATCTGAACGACCGGGAGAAATGGTACGTTGTTCACACATCAGAAATATGTTTGCGTCTAGAGCTTGTCGCAAATCTATAATGATTGGAGATGCATTAAGTCGTCAACAAATGGGAAAGGTCAGTTTGTATTCTATAGTAGACTATTACATCATTCACCCGTAAAACCCGAATAAAAAGCTATTATGATAATTCATTTTTGTAGATTGTAAAACATATGGGTGATATTGATCAACCATGGGTAAGAGAATCTCTCTTTTTTAATCATCAATAATTTATCTGTTATTGAAAATTTCAATTTTTCATATTCTTTAGAATTGTCCTCACGGTCGACCAACCATGAGACACCTTTTTGATTTGTCAAAGGCACGAAGTTCTCAACCATATACAATGCGTCCTAAAAGCAATCAAAGCAATTTATACAAATTGTTTAGAAATACATGTAATAGTTAATTATTAGCTTTCATAACATTATTTTATTTGGTGATATTAGCACTGAAATATTAACTTTAGCACCAAAGTATTATAATATAAATCAGTCATTAAAATTAAAAAAATTAAGAAAATCTTTTTTTAGCAGTATATATATAGCCAAATTATTATTTAACTAAAAAAAATTTCATTAATAAAGTAATTGTAGGCCTTTAAATTTAGAAAACAAAAATTGGTTAATTTTATTGAATTATAAAAGAATATTTTTTAATATTTTGTAAATTAGAATGTAAATTTTCATAGGTTATTATAAAATTTTTGCTAAATTTTGCATAAATTTATTTATAACTTTTGTAATTAGTATTTACAAATTTATAGTATATTTTTGTAATATATAGATTATAAAATGTAAAAGAAGTAAAATTGGTTTGTATTAATGTTAATATTTTTAGTAAAAGTTCACCTATATCACATAATTTATTAAAATTTAGATTGTTTTGTTTTAAAAAAACTAATAATTTTATTAATAAAAGTATTTATATAAAGTCTATAGTTTGTTTTTTTTTTTTTATTGCAGCATATTTAGATTCTTTATTAAAATAAGTAAGTTCAAATACATCATACAAATGAGAATGAAAACAATTAAACTAATAATTAGTAAGACCTAAACCACTTGTCATCCTGAGAAGGATCCCACGTGTACACTGTCAAGCAGAATTTAGAAGTCTATAGTTTAAATATAATAATATATTATATAATAATCCATAAGTTAGTATTATTATAAAAAACATGATAAATCTTATAAGTATTAAGTAATTTTTATATTGCTAAATAACTTTCAATTAATAAAGGAAGTCAATTTCATTTGATTAAAATGGTGAAATTATGCTCTAAAGTTAGTAAATAGAAAAAAAAATTTTTAAAGTTAGTACTATTATGAAAATGTAAGTTTCTCTATATATATTATACCTATATCTATAAAAATTAATATACAAGTAGTTTTGACTTTACTGAATAATTTTCAATTAATTTAAAAATGGTGAAATTACATGCTGAAGTTAGTAAACAGAAAAAAGAAACATTTGAAAGTTAATACCATTATAAAAAACATAAGTTTCTCTATATATATTATATTTACACCTATAAAAATAATATACAAGTAGTTTCAACCTTATTAACCAATTTTTAATTAATTTGGAAAGTTGATTTCATTTGATCAAAGTGGTAAAATTATACATTGAAGTTAAAAAATGAAAAAAAAATTTGAAAGTGTACCATTATAAAAACTATTAATTTCCTCATATGTATTATATCTATATCCATAAAAATTAATATACAAGTAATTTTAGCCTTGCTAAATAATTTTCAATTAATTTAAAAAGTTGATTTCATTTAACTAAAGTGGTAATAAACAGAAAAAAAATTTGAAAATTAGTATCATTATAAAAAATATAGATTTTTTTATATATATTATACCTACACCCATGAAAATTAATATATAAATAGTTTTGACTCTACTGAATAATTTTCAATTAATTTAAAAAATCAATTTTATAAATAGATTTATCAAAAAAATGAATAGAAATTAAGAAATTTATCATTACCTTTATTAAGAACTACCAATCAGTTACAATTATCTTTACAGAAACTTACCATTTTTAATCAATATAGAATCGATATTGTTAAGTTTATCTTAACAGTATTGTTTTGATATCATTTTAATATCATTTCAATATTGATTTAATATCGATATAATATCGAAATAAAGTATTATCAAAATGATAATTAAAATAACATTGAAATGACATCTTTAAATTAAACTTAAAGATGTTGTTTCGATATCATTTCTATTATCATTTTGATATCATTTTGATACTATTTCGATATCATTTTGATATTAAAGTGATAATATTTTATTTCAATATTATATCAATATTAAATTAATATTGAAATGATATCACTTGAAAACTTAAAGTTTCTGTAAAGATTCTATTTAACATATTTTCCTCCAATCTTTAATAAAGTATACATATGAGAATTCTTATTATAATTCTGCTATGTAAGAGATTTATTTAACCAAAATGGTAAAATTATACTTTGAAATTAATAAATAAAAAAAATTTGAAAGTTAGTATTATTATAAAAAATATAGGTTTTTTTATATATATTATACCTATATTTATAGAAATTAATATTTATTGAACAATTTTTAATTAATAAAAAAAGTTAATTTTATTTGGCTAAAGTATTAAAATTACACTCTAAAGTTATTAAATAAAAAAATATAAATCTTTGGAAATTAGTAGTATTATAAAAAACATACTAGGTTTCTCTATAAATATCATTTTTAATTTATAAAATTGTTTTAAGTATATTCGAAAGAAAGTTGCAATTTAAAAAGAATTTCATAAAAAAATTTTTATTATTTGTATAAAATTGTAGAACATAATATAAACAAAATTAATATAAAACTAAAATTATATTATTGGTGAATTTCATCAGAGGTAAAATTTACTTCTGGTAAATTAATTTTAAATTAACTACTATTATATACTGGTTAAAAACTAATATATTGTAGTGTTACAATCCATAATCCAGTCAATTCAAATTGATCCGTTTATCTGAATTGAAATCAGATATTCATATTTGATTAGTATTTTTGACGGATTAATCCAATTTTTAATTCTGACCAGCTTCGACAGTACTAAAAGTTTAAGCAGAACTAATTCTCATTATTGAAACTTCAATTCTGCCTAAAATTACAATTTTAGCCAGAATTAAAATTATAGTTTAACGATCCAAATTGAATCTGAATGTGCTAATGAGTATCTTGGATCGTACTTCTAATATATTAAGTAACCGATATGTATCAGATGTGTACCCAATATGTATAGTAAAAATGCAAAAAATTGGGTATCCAATATGTGTAAGATATATGTAAATATATATATTATCTACATATTATTTATATATCATATACATATCGATATTCAATATGTATATGATATTTATATTTACATATATCTTACACATATAATATATATGAAACTGAAATTGGTTAATTTTAACCTCTGAAATGGTTGAAATGGTTGAAATGATTTCGACTTGAGCTCCTCCAAAAGTCAAAATGGTTGAAATTACATCATAGTCATATGATTTTATAGTAAACAATAATATTAAAATTCAAAGTTAATGAACTTTGCATCCAGTGATTCAATTTTTATGATCTTTACGCTGTTGGATTCAGCTTATAGAGAGGATTCCAATGATATGTATTTCATATCTATAGTATCAATATTGACGGAATTATTCACGTTTAAAATTTTATATTAAATTATAATTATAAAAATCACATGACTATGATGTAATTTTGACTATTTCGACTTAATTTTGACTTTTGACCTTCCCAAGTCGAAATATTTCTACTTTTGGGCTTTAATTTTGACTTTATGTATAATATCGGATATCTGATTTTCTGCATTTTTACTACATATATTAGATATATATCTGATATATATCTGCTACCCAATATATTAGTTTTTGATCAATGATAGTGTCTCTCACATTCTACCTATAGTCACCAAGGCCAAACAGTCATCCCATCAGTTCTCAAAGTCTTTTAGTAATTCTCTAATTTCTGCCAACAAAGTAATTTTACCAGATTTATTACTGTCCAAACCTTTTTTTATAGTATTTATTCCTTAGAGTCATGAAAATGTATTTTTTCTGAAAAGCTTGTTCTCCTTAATCTTCAGTTGTTATCTGTAGTACTTAGTCCAATCTTGTAAGCTAAGTCTTAGTTCTACTTCTGATTTTAGCCACTTCTTAATGGTTGATTACGACCTTTAGATAGTTGAGACAAAAAGTATCTAGTCTAAACACTGTCAAATTCTTGCAAGTTCAACTTAGTATTTGTGATTTTATTCAAATCAGCCTAATTTTTATAATATATGATAGGCTTGCAGATACTTTTCTCCTGAACCAACTTAAATACTTTGCATCCTAAATGGGATATAGAAAATTGGAAAATGTCTGAAGGATATAGCATCAAAGTAGTGATAGTTCCAGGTAAATCTTTCACAATTTCACTACAGTATGAAATCATTCTTTTTCCTTTATTTCTTTATTAAAGATTCCAGTTAGCAGGATATCATTAGATATGAAGTTCTCCTAAGAAAACAGTCTAAATTCCTTGATTTTATAGGTAGGAATGGGAACAGTTTCATCAGTTCAGTTCCAGTTCTACTGAGCGGTTTAACTGATTCTGAACCAATTCGCTCAAAAAAACAGTTCTGAGCGGTTTAGGTTTGGTTCAGTTCTGCAGAATGGTTTTAATTAATTTAAATCTGATAAATGCTTTACTAAAAATGGCCAATTTTTTGAAATATTTTTATAGACCTAGATACAATGGCTTTCAAAACAATTGTGCAATTATTTTGTAAAATTTTTAAAATATATCAAGATATATTTGAGATATTTTTGAGATTAAAATATTAAAATAATATCAAAGTTAATTATATTATAATAATAAAATAATAACAAAAACATTAAAAAATTATTGTGATATTATTTTGAGTTATTTTTATAGACTTAGATACAATATAATTACAAAATAATAACAAAAATATAATAAAAACATTTTGATGTATTAAATGTATTTTTGTAGTATTTTAAAATTATTACAAAATCATTTCAAAAAATTGGACATTTTTAGTAAAGTGGCTATATTCCTGAAGACCATTTTTGCAAATGTAACAGTTCATTCTTTTTCTTTTGAGGTATAGAGTTCAACTTTAGCATTCAATTTTGTGGAACTCATTTTAAATTTGTTATTAAAGATTCTGCAATCACATCCTTTGATTGGTATATAGTGTTGTTCTGCATCCATTAATTGGTGTTCGATGTTTTCAAAAATTTTCATTTCCATCAGCTGTACTTGTATTGATATTGGCATATTATTAGCTAATTCTGTTGACTTGAACTGCGCCACTTGTTCTTGGATGTTTGGCAACCACGGCGAGAGTAAATAACAAGTAGATAATTTGTACCTCATTTTTAATACCAAGTTCTTTAAGTACCGTTCTATGATTTTTAACAAAAGTTTCAATATTGTTGTATTCTTCAGTAGGTGATATATGCTTTATATAGTCT